CTACCGGAACACCACTTGGAAGTCTGAGAGTAGAAAATACTGAGAACAATGTAACTAGGAATACATTGCAAGCAAATGAATGACTTTATTCTAGAGGTAGGCGTCAGAATTACAAGCCACTCATGAAATACACTGACATTCACGACCCACAATTATTTTCTGCGTAGCACCAAACTCGAGTCGCCATCACATACGAATCTGCGTTAGCTGTGATTTTAGCGGTAGTTTAGAACGTTCAGCGGATAAACATAGTTTTTCCGCATCTCACAATGCCGGGGTGTGTATCCCTTCTCAGTGCTTCGGAAAATAACCACCTAGCCGCTTGAGGCAAGACTGCAGCAACCGGTCTTTACGAAATTGTTCTACAATTCTGCCACTCCAATGAGCGTCTAAACTTGCATGATGTTACCAGGCACATTAACCCTACTTCCTTATGCAAGGGCTAACTCAGAAACTCGTTACCATAGGTTGATTAACCGCCTGCTGCTAACGCGAAACGTTATGTGATGATGGCAAGAATACTGTCCAAGCAAATCCACACACTATAATGAGTTCATATTTGGAACCTCGGCAGTAGAAAGTGAGAAAAGAGTAACGATTTCACAGTGACAAAGAAGTGTTGGCGGTAGGAATTTTCAAAGTGTAACTAATAGTGAAAGGGAAGCAAAATAATACAACATGACAATGGAAACCCGTGTTCAGACAACCGCTTTACTAAGAATAAGGTAATCGCGACCTTGATTTTCATCAGGACATGAAATGTCGGTTTCGTATCCCAGCTTATGGAAGAAACCCAGCGACTTTTCATTGAAGGCGAAAACTGTCGCCATCACTTTCTCCATACCCGTTCTAAACCAATAAAATGAACTAATGCTAGTGCAATAGAAAAGCAATGACTGTTCTCAGAAGAAAGCGTACTTTTCAGCCAAAGTTTCGAGAGTTTGAATCAATAACGTTCCGACTCCTTTCTTTTGATATCTCTCTTCCACTTGAATCAATAACGTTCCGACTCCTTTCTTTTGATATCTCTCTTCCACTTGAATCTCGTAACTGCAAAGAAGAATACTTTAGTGTGACTTTTCAAATGAACAATAGATGGAAATGTTACCAGGCACACCAGCCTCTTTCTCGATTAATGACAAGGAAACGAGGGAGCGGAAAGTGACTCAGGAATGGTTTGAGTATTAGAACTTTAAATATAGGTGAAAATTCTACACAGCTATCGGATCTTTGAAGCAACAACTCCAATAAAGTTGTGCCGAAGAACCTATCGAATGGATGGGGTGCAGTTACCCACGAGTATCACAGATGTGCTGTTTCGCGTCTCGAAAGTGCGCGACAATGGCGCTAGGGCTTTACAAAGTGAGTTATGGCGACTAATCCTAGCTTCTGGACCTGATACCTCGCGCTCGCCCTCACGCAACGTGGATTACGACGTAGCGGATAAGGTAGCAGACGGAAAGATACATATGGTTGCCTTATCGGTTGATACGGCTGCGCTCAAAAAACTCGTCGACACGTACTTTCCTTGCCATCATTATTCAATCGCTTTTACCCCACCAATTCGAACTGAGGCTGTTGCTTCAAACCCTATCCAAAGTCCGTGATATAATGAATTGCATATGCCAATACCTTCAACCAAAATATTTAGAATCTTGCCGTACTTTGAGCTGCAAAACTTACCAGTATAAAACGGAGCTATTATGATCCATGTCAAAGCGGTAATGTGTGTAACCTATGGGCTCTCCTTTTTCGTTCTTAGCTATAATGAACCTGAAAAATAAAACGCGCATCATTAAAACACTCAAATAATTGAGTTACCTACCGAGCTGTTGTTGCGTTCAGTTCAGCCTTTTTCGACTCTGGATCCCATCCCCACTGCGACATCGAATATCTGAAAATTTCCAGATCATTTAAAGTCATGGCAACCTATGAAAAAGGCACCAAATCCATGCGAAATAGCTAAACCGATAGGGATCGCTGCCCTAATCATGAACCACCATACTTTAAAACTTACTCTAAAGACACTAGGCGTATGAACTACTAACTACCGAACGACTGACTAGTCAAGTGAAAACTTACAGTTGGAACATATTTTGCTTGAACAAATCGAAAACCCATGACGACTGTTCTTCCGAAAGATGTGTCGCCCAGTACGTTTCGAAAGTAA